CTTGCCATTGGGGGTGGTGGGCCTCAGTGCCTGTCTGCACTGGCCAAGGCCAGCAGGCAGGTGTGCTCTCTCAGACCTCCCAGGAGCATGCTGGAACAGCCCCTCTCCCCAGTCCTGCCCCCTCACCAGCTGGCGACTGTCAGCAGCAGCTGGAGAATAGGTGTGGGGAACAGAGCCCTGCTCCCACTGTGAGGGCCCTGCAGCTTGCTGGCTGGGTTCTGGGTGCGGAGCCTGGGCTGGGTCCGTGCGGCGGGGGGCTCCCTCCCCCTCCCCTCTTCTAGACTCTTGACAGCTATGGCCAAGAGCTGCAAAACAGGGCTGCCCAGTTCAGCTTTTCGCCACTCTGGGAACTGGAGCCAGGAGGGAAGGGAGCCCCCCTGACATGGATTGGATCCTACCTGGCCCCACCAAGACTCAAACCCTCCAGCTTGGTAGCGGGGTGGGATCTGTGCCACAGAGAGTCTCTATTCCCTCCCCCCAGCTGTGCAGGGAGGAGACAGATTTTTTTGGTCTCCTCTCTGTGATAGCCCAGTGGTGGAGCTGGGCCAGTTTTCACCTGGAGCAGATAAGCGCCAGCTGAGGTTAGCAAGCCACCCAGAGAGGGCCCCTGAGATGGTGACAGAACGTGACTTACATTGAAGTGTGACGGATGTTCAAAAAAAGCACTTTCACCTAAAATGCTATAGCCTAATACCACATCCATCAAGGGTTAACTTAGAGCAGGATCTGCCATTTATAAAGCGCTTCAAGTGCTGTGAACATCTGTTCTGTTATGACTTTAAAGCATCCCACAAAGTTAGCCATTAGAAAATACTGAACACATGGAGACTTTTTAAATTCAGTTACTCTCCTGAGGTTAGGTTCCTGAGTCAGGGATGCAGGCAGGTGTCCCCAGCCAGTTGACATGCACAGCCTGGAATTTCCTGTGACAGGCTGTGTAAATCACCTCTACAGTGCCATCTGATTTATTTTATTTTATTTTTGGTCAATCCATTTCCTGAGATTCCCATATGGTTGCATAGTTTACTGCCAGGGCTTTTAGTGATGATATTCTCTGTTTTGGTTATATTATAAATCCCCTTTCTGCAATGAAGCATGCAGCATATGAGACTGAATCTCTGTTCTCAGTGGGAAAACTGAACTCAGTCTTAATTATGTATCCTCCATAATGTTGCCAAGCTATGGTGTCGGAAGCTGTTCTAAAACTGAATTTCTCATTGCCTTTGCTCTTATCCTTTGTGTGTTAGGAAGGTGCATACAGTGGTGAAATTAACATCCTATCTGTAACCATGCTGTTGTATGTAAAGGTGCTGAAGGGTTTCCTCAGAGCTTGCGAGCTCAATCAGGGTGTTTGCACTCTTGGGACAAGGATCTGCAGCTGGCTGTGCACACAGGATGCATGCATGTAATTGGACAGCTGAAACTCGAGGACAGGAAGCACAAGAAAAAACAGGGAAGACCAGGTGTGGAGAGGGGAGCTGAAGCTGTGCGGAGAAGGGCTGCTACTAGGACAGTTGCTTCTGAGAGGATGACTGGCAGAAGACTCGTGACTGAGGGAGCTGCTACTGAGGGCAGAGGAGCCACCAGCTAAGCCACCAGGATTGCCCGGTATCCTTTACTGAAGGAGCAGGGGTTGTACAAACGGGTTCCCTACCCTACTCTTAAGCTCCCTGGGTGCAGGAAGTTGCTGGGAGGGAATCGGGGACAGGGGTTGCTAGAGGAGGTTTTCTGGGAGAGCTGGAGAAAGTAGCAGGGAATCGTGGCTGTGGGAGCTCCCGCAGAGCTCAAAAGTACAGCCGAGAAGGGGCAGTCCAGGTGCCAAACACAGGGGAGCTGCCTTGGGAAGTCTCTGGGGAATGGTGTGACTGATTGCAAGTGCCCAGGAAAGACTGGACAAAGGAAGAAACCCTGGTCTCCAGAGCAGCCACACCTGAGGTCCTCACAATCACCACTGTCTTCTGTCCAGATGACAGCATCGCCGCCTCTCTTCTGAGGCAGAGCGAGCGCCACTCCCCGGGGCTCCACTGCACAGGGGGCTACTTTGCTGCAGGCAGAGTGGTTTTGTGGAGACCTGGCTGATTAAGTGCATATACCTGTTATAAGTTGCCTGAGTGTTAAAGTTGATAACATAATTGCTTTTGTTATATGGTAAGTATTTGCTTTATCTGCTGGTATAGATTATTATTGAACTCATTGAAAATATTTTGTTTGTTATTTATGGGCTGTCAAATTTGTCAGTCTCTCAGTTATTGTAGTAATAAATTATTGTAAATAGTTATTTAGTGTGTGGTCTGGTGCAGAGAGAACCAGGGGAGAGCACTCCAATGAGTGGTGCTCCCAGCCAGTAGACTGAGACCTATTGGCACCCCAGGATCCCAAAAATATGGACATGGCTGCAGGTAGCACCACCACCAGAGTTACGTGTATACCATTTTACAATCTTTCTAAAAATGTGAGTCTGTTTTACAATTATCCAAAAAGAGAGTCAATGTTAAATACTTATCCAACTGTGTATAATAATCTCCGTGGATGGAAAAATTCTATTGCTGCTCATATGGCTGGCTCTGAATGGCTGTTTCTCCACAAAGTCACTCACTTTGTATGACTGATGGTCCCCCATTAATAGGAAAGAACAGCAACGTAAAACCTTCTCCTTCTCTCAGGAATGGTGGGAAGAGGTTTCCTCAAAACAGGAATAGCAAAGATGGTAGGAGAGGTGCCTTTTTCCTCCTACCCTGACATACAGGGGTAGAACACAGAACCCAGGTCTGGAAAGGATCTTCTAGGTCATCAAGTTCGGACAACCACATTGTATAAGCCCTTTCATAAACAAATCAAACTGCATTATAAAAGTAGTTAGGATTTTCTGCCACAGATGTTTGTATTGGGAAATTGTTACTGAATTGTACTGCTTTGGCAGTTAAAAACCTTTAATGCGCACCCTAAATCTGTTCATGGCCAGATTATACCTCTGGAAGTAGGGAGGGGCCGTACTCACCACTGAGCAAGGGTGCATCTGTTTGGATGGGTAGAGTGGACCTTCGGAGCTCTTCTATAATGCAGAGTGTAAGTTGTTTGGGGTAGGGATGTAGGTTGTAGCCGTGTTGGTCTAAGGACATAGGCAGACAAGGTTCCTTGGGTGAATTTGATATCTTTTATTAGACCAACCCAAATAGTTGGAGAATAGTTATTAAGCAAGCTTTCGGGTTCAAAAACCCTTCATCAGGCTAAGGAAGTTTCAGCAGTTGGTGTGTGCTCTTCCTGGATGGAATGAAAAGTAAAGAAGCCAGGGGCTGGGCTGGGCTGGGGAGTCAGTTGCCAGGCAGATTATAATGTGTCAAAAATCCAATGTCTATATTAAGTCCATGATCTCTAGTATCCAGGAGGTTGATGAAATGGAGCTCATAGGCTCGTCTCTGGGAAGTGTTGTGTAAGTTTCCCTTGAGGATCAGGACTGAGAGATGGGCGAGAGAGTGGCCCTCCCGTGAGAAATGTGCCCCCACCGGTAATTGGGTTGGTTTTCACAGACTCCCACAAGTCATGGGTCCTGGAATTAACACCATACTGTGGTGCATTTGGCAGTCCAGCCCGCTGTGCACTGTTGTTTGAGACTCTCTGCAAACTTGAGCAGATATCTTTGCATTGATTCTACTTGAGTCACATTTTTTGACCTCTTCTTTGCAACCACAAGAGCTGAAAACTTCCTGTTGAATGATGGCTAAGTTCAATGTAATTGCATGCCAAGAGCCTCAACTCCTGCCCATGAGTTTAAACTCTATTCTGTATAGGGTTTAGTTAGCCATGTGCTAATGTTCTGTCCCTGACTTCTCCTTATCCTGGACTGGGTTGAGGGCTGTGCTTGATGATAATCCTTGGCTGGAAAGAGGAGTAGGCGGATTGGTAGCAGCGTTTGGGGAAGCTCTGCCAGGCTGCTGGTACCTAGCTGAGTACTAGGTCTGCTCTAGTCTTTCTATCCAGGTCTCTGATCAGTATCATGGAGGTTTCTAAGCATGGCTCAGGGTCAAATATGTGCCCCACACTGTATTCTAGGTAAGTTCACACAGCTGTGCAGGGAAGGGCAAGATGTTCCCTTTCTGAGTCTTAGCGGAGCCTTTTATTTGGCTTTAATATTCTCTGTGTAGGAAGTAGCTGTGCAGTGATAAGAAATGCCAGTGAAAGATGGACGTGCCTCTGCTCCAGAAGCTATAATAGTGTACCAAGCAAGATTTGCAACGATGCAATGCTTTTCACATGCTTTTATTCATCAGATCACACATTTGCCAGGCTAAAAGAATAGCAATGTTACTAGATCTAAAAACAGTCAGCAGCACGTCTCAAAGACCCAACTTTGCTAGTTGTTGCACCCCAGTCGCTGAATCTTCTATACTCTCCAGGTCTCAGGAGGTATTGACGGCCACGGTAGTTTGGCATTTCATAGAAGATCCAGTGTCCCTCCAGTACAACACAGGACTGGATCTCGCAGAGACGTAGTTGTTCCAGGACTTGAGGACAATCCTCAGTTAACTCCATCATCTGGCTCCTCAGATTATCCTTCTCGTAGACTTTTATCCTGTAGGTGCCTCTGTGCTGTAACAGAGAATGAAAGTGTGAAGTGGCTAACTCACAAGACTGACTCCCTGTGAACTGCGTGATAGTTCTTAATCTTCCTAATAGAAAGTAATGAATAGGTCAGTGTAGCCACCTATCCCTCTCTCCCCCCCCCCCTTTTTGTAGGG